GCGTTTTTTACCGCCCGGGAGGCCCAAGCGTCTGGTTCTCGTCTGTTCTCATCCGGTGTCTCTTGTCTGTTTTGTCTTCCGTAATTGGACGTCGCTAGAAAGGCCCGAGCATTGACAGATGCACACAGCCGCCAGTTTGAGGTTTCATGACGCTTGCAATATTAATGTCAGAACGTTCGTCGTTTGACAGTCGAGGAGGTACGAGCGATCTGCCAGTTAGAGCCCACATCGCCGTCGTCAAGGAGGCCGCGGTCATCCTAGCGCTGAGCCTCGGGTACGTCAAATCAACAAAGCTCCAGCCAGTGCGGCATTTTGACGGTGCTGGTCAAGAACAAAGAAGATCGCACAGCCACGTAGACTGAGACAAGCTCTATGATCGCCTCTTACCACTGAAATAAAATTAGACCATGGCCAGGAATAAAATTAGACAATAGGCGCAGCTTTGCCGAACCAGACACGCACTTTTCATCTTGTACATGAATCCCGTTCTTTTATCCATATCAAACCCTATATACACGCGATTCTATTCAACCAATCTATCCACAACTACTAGCACAACTCGAACACAAAAAAAAACACGCGGAGACACTAGAGTAAAGACTAGAAACTAACTATGTACCAAGTAACCTAAGCTTGCGAAGCGAGATGTACACACGAGTATACGAGTATGAACGTGAAAACAGAAACAGCAGCGATCGAAAGCCGTATAGTATAACGTATATGATGGGCACCAAGAAACTCCCCCTCACCCTCGTGCAGGGCGCATCGTTACCGCTCCCCCACCCCACCCCCGCCATCGCCCGCGCATTAACATGCACATGCCGCGCCCGCTCCCCGACCTCCCAACACACCTCGACGCCCCGCACCCACGCACACCCGAGCACCTCCTCGATGCTCGCGCGCGCGCGCGGGTCCGGCTCGAGCATCCGGCGGATCAGCGGCCGGCACGCGCGCGGGGAGAGGTTGCTGATCGTCGGCGGGAAGGAGAGCGCGGGCGCGTTGCGCTCCGGCTGGCGCTCGGCCGTGTGCGCGCTGGTGGAGGGAGGGGCGCCGTTTGCGCTGGGATTGGGAGGGGGATTGGGAATGGCGGTTGCGGTTGCGGTTGCGGCCGGCGTAGGATTCGGATTCGGATTTGCGGGCGTGGGCGTCGTGGACGACGTGCCGTTCGCAGACGGGGCGCTCCCGTTCGTCGTCGGGGCGACGCCGTTTGTCGCGGTCGTCGCGGCAGCGGCGGGGGCAGCAGTATTTGAGGTAGGAGGCGCAGCAGCCAACGGCGCGGCGGGCGTCGCGGCCGCGGCCGTCGCGTACGCCGCGTAGAGCTGGTCCGACTGCTGCGCCGCGCGCCAGGGCAGCTCCTGGAAGTGCAGGCAGTAGTACACGATCCCGCACGCCCAGATGTCGACGAGGCGTGCGTCGTAGGCTGTGTGGGGCGGGCGAGGACGGCGGGGCGCGGGGGAGCGGGGCGGATGGGACGATTGCATGAGCGAGTGGACAAGCGGGCGAGCGGACGAGCGGACGAGTCGACATCGGGGCGAGTCAAGCGAAGTCGAGGGACGAGCAACAAACGGCGAGCGACGAGCCGATGGCGAGGGCGAGCGAGCGAATGAGGTACCAAAAGATAGAAAAAAAAGCGAATCCAGTCAGCCCTCCAAACCGCGCCGCAAAAAAAGACAAGAGACTCACGTTTCCCCAAAAACTGCTCCGGCGCAATATACGGCTCACTCCCGCAGAGCCCCGTCGACATGTGGATCGTCGCCTCCCAGGGGAGGCGGTACACGGTCGAGGCGCCGTAGTCGCCGATCTGCGGGCGGGGGTGAGTAAGGGAAGGGGAAGAGGAAGGGGGGAGGAAGACGGGGACGGGGGGAGGGGGGGAGGGGGAGGGGGAAGGGGGAGGGGAGGCGAAGGAAGGGGGAGGGAAGAGGGTGCCGGGCGGGGGACGGGGGAAGGACGGGTGGAAGCGGACGGAGTGGACGGGCGGAGGGACGGGGAAGATGAAGTGGGACGGTGGCGAGGCGGGGAAGAAGAGAGACGGGAGCAGGGGGTGTGGCTCCGCCGGGGTGGCGTCGACGGCTCGGACGAAGCGACGCGGTCGCCCGCCGCCCGTCGTCCGACCGTCCCACCCGCCGCCGGCGCTCCGCCGACCGCGTCTCGTCGAGCACCCCCCGAAAACAGCCCGCCAGTCCTTTCGGCGCGGCCGCGGCGAGCCCACGCTCCCCAACCCCGCTCCATCCGCTCCTCCGCCGACGAAATAGATACCACGGAGCAGCAGACGAAAACGAAGAAAACACACCTTCAAATGCCCCCCCGTGTCGAAGAACAGGTTCTCCGGCTTGATGTCGCGGTGCGCGACGCCCTGGCTGTGCAGGTAGCCCACGCCGCTCAGGATCTGCTTGAAGCAGCACTCGACCTGGGGCGGGTTAGCGAGTGCAGGGTGGGGTGGGATAGAAGGAAGGGGGAGGGGAGGAAGGTGGAGGGAGGGGGAAGGGTGGGGAGCGGACGAGCGGACGAGAGCGGAAGGGAGCCCACGGGCGGCGGGGGAAGGGGAGGCGAGCGCAGGAGCGAAGGGGGGGTGGACGGGCGAAGGGGGTGGAGTGGGCAGGGCGGGCGGGCGGGAACGAGGGGGGAGGTCAAGGGGAGCGGAGGGTGAGGAGGGAGCGGAAGCGCGCGAAGGGCGAAGGGCGAAGGGCCGAGGGAGGGTGCGAGCGGCGGGGTCAGGGTCAAGGGGGGGCGCGGCGGCCCCATGCCCCATACCCCAGGCCGACTCGCTCTCCATGCAGCGCGCGGCAACACCCCTCCTTGCCCAGGCACGGAAAGCGGAAGGCGGAACGACAGAAAAGAGGCAAGGAGGCGCGGCGGAAAGTAGGAGACGCGGGAAGGAGGCAAGGCGGGAACGCGAAAATGCAAAAAAAGCAATAGGAAGAAGGAAGGACCCACCTCGCTCGGCGACATCCCGCCCTTCTTGATCGCGGCGTACAGGTCCCCGCCGGGGCAGAACTGCGAAGTAATGAGTCAGCATCGTTATTCTTCTTCGAACGCGGAGGAAGGGAAATGGGGGGAGGAGGGAGAGAGACGCGAGGATCGTCGGCACGTTGTCGACCTCCCGCACGGGCACGGGGCCTCGAGCGCACGGCGCCGACATCGAGGAAAGGCGCCGGAGGAAGCCAGGGACGTCAACGTCAGCGTCCGACACCCGACGCCCGCCGTCCGCGCCGCATCGATGAGCGCGGGGGCGGGCCGGCGCGGAGTCTGTGCGCGCGAGGCACGGGAGGATCAAGACGATGTATATCGACGCAGGTACGGATGCAAATCGACCCCGATGCGATTCGAGGGAGATCCTCCGGGATCTGCGTCTAGGACGACGGACGTCCGACGCCCGATGTCCGACCGACTGGCGGAGCGGGCTACGCAGCGCCTCGACGGATGCGGGAGGATTAGGACGGCGGTGCGCATCGACCCCGATGCAACGACGGAGATCCTCCGAGATCCGCGTCCAGCGCTACAACGACGGCAAAGAGGCGATACGCGGGGTGGGCATTCGCCCCGACCGGCGCATCGGCGGGCTGCAGGTGGGGGACAGGCCGACGCGCACATCGACCCCGATGCGAATCGACGGCGATCCTCCCGGATCAGTGTCCAGCATGCCCGAGGGCCGCCACGGATATGTGGCGAGGCACGCCCGCTGACCCAGGCCAAGCGCCAAGCCCGACCCAAGCCCACCAAAACGGCATCCGGACCCATAAAACGAAACAAGATGAAGAAGAGAACCAACTCACCTCCATAACCTCACACCACCGGCCCCCCTCGTCCTGCACCAGATCGACCGTCTCGACGATATTAACATGGTGCAGGGTCGAGCTGATGCAGAACTCGGCGGTCAGCTTCTTGACATACTCCTTCTCCGTCTCCGCCTTCCGGCGCTTGCGGAACTCCTTGACGGCGTACAACTTCTCCTCCTCGCCCGCGGCCGTGCGGTCCCACTTGTGCGCGAGGCGCACGACGCTCGTCGCGCCCTTGCCGATCGCGGCCTTCTCGCACACGCCGTACTTGCGCGTGAGCGACGCCGCGCTGTCGCCGCCGACCGACCCCGAGCCCTTGCCGGACTTGGCGCGCCCGGACTTGCCGGACTTGAGCGACTGCGACTCGGACTCGGAGTCGCGCGAGGAGGCGGAGCGCGCGGAGGAGCGGCGCGCGAGCTTGGGCCCGCTCGCGAGGAGGTCTTTGAGCGTGAACTTGTGCGAGGTGTGCGAGGCCTCGGAGGCGAGAGAGGCGACGGAGGCGGCGCGGGAGGGCGCGCGCGCGGGGATTGCGGGCGTGCTCGGGGCCGAGGAGGAGGCGGCGCGCTTGACGCGGTGGGGGGCCGGCGGCGGGGACGAGGGTGGTGGAAGAGGCGGCGAGGAGGTCGGCGCGGGTGTTGCCGGGCTGCTTGTCGTAGGTGGCGGCCTCGGGGGGCGGGAGCGGGACGCTGGGGGAGCGGGGCATCGTGCTCGTCGTCGTGGTCGTCGTGCTCGGGGTCGTGCTCGTCGTCGGGGGCGTCGTGCTCGTCGTCGTGGGCGATGACAAAGAAGTAAAAGGCAGCAGGGGTTAGAGCAGCAGTGCCATGGTGCTGGCGGATTGGAAGGATGGAGAAGGCTCCCTGCAAAATGACCACAACCGTAAACACTCCGCTACTGGTTGGCAATATTCACTCAGCCAGCCGGCCCGATCGCCCGTGCATCCCCTTCCAGCTGCTTGCAAACCAGCTCAGCGAGGTCATCGTGGAGCTCGGCCTCGATCAGCATCCGGGTTCTGATTTATCAAAGGGGTAAGTAGGGAGTTGAGACATCTCTAACTAGCCCCGGTCTCAGAAAAAAAGAAAAGGATCCCGACCCTGCCTAGTAGGGATCCTCAGAGTATCTTCAGCGAGTGCGTTGGCTTTGCGACGTCTGTTCAGACTAGTCATCTCCATGTGTTTTTATGTACGAAAAACGAAAAAGAGGGGAAAAAAGTGGTAATCAGCGCCATGGTCCCGCCCTGATTCGAACAGGGAACTCTCTCAGAACATTGATGTTGAAATCTACAAACAGAGGATGTGTAACCATTACACCACAGGGCCGCGACGAGTCCGTGGGACATGGGCTTAGTGACGGCAAAGTCTCTGGCCAGTTTTGAAACCCGATGGAGAAATAAATCATCACTGAAACAAGACAGTTTCCCCAGTTGAATCTCAGTGTTTGGCCAGGTAAGAAAAAAAGAAGCGTTTATGACCCCCCCCGGATTCGAACAGGGAACTTCCTGCCAAATACCAAACTACAAAAACCTCACGAATAAAGGATATGTAACCGCTATACCGCGGAACCATGGTGGGTCTGCCAGATCGTGAGCCAGGTCTCGCCTCTATCTGGGTCATTTCTGTCAGAAGTCAAAATATTCCACAGCAGCTGTCCGATCGAGAAACATAATACTACAAATTCATCTCATCCCAATCTCATCCCAACTCGAACCTCACTACTATTGGTCATATAAAAATAAGCAAAAAAAAGGTCAAATAAACAAATGCAACGGCCCTGCCCTGATTCGAACAGGGATTCCCTCATACCCTCTTCAGACATCTATACAGACAGAGGACGTGTAACCACTACACCACGGGGCCACAATGTGTTGTCAGCCTGGCCTCTATTCTATGCCGGCTCGCGCTGTTTCAATTTCCGAGGTCAACTCACCGCGGTAGAATATTGCGAGATGACAAGGATGCTATAAATCAGGCGAGGGAATCCCATCTCATTGCTTTTGGTCCTGCACAGATAACAAAAACTGGCACGGAATTATGGCCCTGCCCTGATTCGAACAGTAACTTCCTCATAAACTTTGGGTGCACAGAACCAATAGATAGAGGACGTGTAACCACTACACCACAGGGCCATGATGCAGTGGACCATAGAGTAAGCCTATTCTGAGTCTGGCGGAGGTGCATGGTCGAGGTCGATTCTGAATCGGGTGCGGTAATCAAGTTCATCTCCAGCAATGTTTATTGGTTACGCACAAGACGTCGGTAAAAAAGGCAAAAAGAGGCCACCAGAAATACGGTCCCGCCCTGATTCGAACAGGGAATTCCCTCTTACAGAAAGTTCACGGCACAATGAATCAAGGACGTGTAACCATTACACCACAGGGCCATGATGCACGTGTCGGGTCGTGAAGTAACCCTAGATTAGTCCTGGGTCTGGCGGGGCATTTCTGCCGAGGTCAAATCAAAGTAAAACATATTGGGCAGCCAAGGGCCAAGGCTGCCTTCAAATCGAGAAATGAGACGCAGAAAGAGTAGGTAAATTCCTCAGTCTAGGATTAAGGATCTCATCTCATCTCATTTGAACTCCGAGTCTCACTGGTTTGGTTGTGCTCACAATAACAAAAAGTAAACTACGGAATTATGGCCCCGCCTCGAACAGGGAACTTCCTCGCAAAAACCATGAGCGCAAGACAGAGAGGACGGACGCGTGTGACCACTAACCGGGCCATGATATGTATCGCACCGTGGGGTGAGTGACGGAAAAGTCCAATCTGGGTCTGGCGAGTTCCGAGGTCGAATCGAAGTGAAACGCGTTGGAGTTTCCCCACTCTGAGTCGAATGGCATTATTTTGAGTATGGAAGAACAAAAACAATGTAAAGCCAAATGCATGGCCCCGCCCTGATTCGAACAGGGAATTTCCTCAGAATCTCGAAGATGATAATTGTATAGCTATACAATTATCATCTTCTTTACACGTCTTCTCCCTATAGGGAGAAGACGTGTAACCGTTACACCACGGGGCCGTGATGGGTTCGTCGGATCGTGGGATAGGGCTATTCTGGATCTGCCAGCGAAGGTTGTCAATCCGAAATCGAACTTCGTGAAAATTTTGTGACTCTGAGATGACAAGGCTGCCTTCACCTCGAGTAGGTGTCGGAAATTTCTAAAATCCGTTACAAGGGGCTGTAAGGCCTTGTAAGGACATAATAGGAGCGGGTCTGATTGCACTCTTACACAAATAAAGTTCTCTGATTAGATCAGCCCGTTTGATAAGAATGCTTGATCTGATAAGGCTGCCTCATCTTATCTGGCATGATAAGATCATGTTTTCTGATAAGACCGTAAGGCTCTTGTCCGCTTTAATAAGAGTTCACGATTGTCATAAGATTGTCTTAATGTACAAGACTGTATAAGAGGGAGAGGGAACCCTAAGGGTTGGCGCCATTGTAAGACCTGGATAAGACTTATAAACTTCTCATCAGAGTGGGTCTCCTTATAAGAGTTCATAAGAATACTGCTGCGTATTAGGCATTATGAGCTCTCCTAAGCGCAGCTACAATCATACGACGGGGGGGGAAAAAATCGATATTCCTGTTTCATTTTGTTTCGTAGCTAGTCACTGAGGTTTACTGACTTTGCTACCGAGTCATTGCATTACTGACTACTCATTAGTGTTACTGACTTCGTTATTTGATCCTTTCATTTATATTAGGAAATTACTGTCGCATTAGGAATCTACTGACGTTGCATTAGTTATTATTGACTTGGCTGTTGGTGTTAGATTGTTACTTACCTTGGGTTCGAACCGGCGACCTCTTGTGTACTGCTCTTTTTGCAAAAGTATCACTATATACCGTTTAGCCATTATGGCTACAAGCTCTAGGTAACTGTGCTCAATATATTTGACTCATAGGCCGTGCTGCTGCCACTCCACCCTATTGGCATCGACAAGTTCCGGTGCGCCTTGGAAAGGAACCGTGGAGGCAGTATCCTGCACTTCTTCGATAGTTTCGCCAATAGACAGGACCAGTGTGCCGTTGGCAAACGAAAGGATGATATACGAGTCATACTCGTCTAAGAAGTAAAATCAGGAACTGAATTGATGGTACGAGTAGAACGCTTGCTCACCGTCTTGCGTCTTCCCTCCGCTTTGTCGTCCAAACTGCATTCGGGATACCAGGCAGTTCCGAGCTGACAGACTCCTCGACTTCGAGCCTGTGGCGAGTCCTGAACGTGCTCCACGCCTCACGCCTGCAGGCCGTAAATATTTGCTGTGCGTCCGAGTATCGCAAAACATTTAAGACTTTCGAGTCGATTATGGGGTCGATGGACTCGATCTCATCAGCTATCACTAAATTCTCCAGCGCCCGAGGTCGGAAATAGGCATGGGGGAGAAGTGAGCTCGGGTCAGACATGCTGAAAGATGGATAGGTCGTGGAGCTGTATTCAGGCTCGTTGTCGTCATTTCCAAGCTTTTGGAATCGATATACATAACTGCGAAAGAGTTGATCAGCTGGTAAACAAAGGAAGGGAATGCGAACACTCACTGATTTCCAAATTCAGCTGCTACGAAAAGGAAACCAGATTTGAGAATACAGAGCGAGGACATGACAGGTACAGTATCGAAATACTTGATTTTTAACGACTTTGATCGAGAAGATTAGCCACGTTAGTTCTGGACAAAGAAAGCAAACTTACTAATCCATCCAATTTAGCTGCAGCCGCGTCCGGACCAAGGACATGGTGGTCGCCTTCAATCATGTAGAAGTAGTGGTTTGTAGGGTGAGCGATGAACTTCCGAGGGGTGTAGGACAGCGGCATTGAGTCTTGCTTGAGCTTCGTACCCAGTTTCGGAATTTGGAAGATACTAGCGCGAGTCAGTAAGGAAAATCGAGGAATCGTGGAGCAATGCTCACCGAAGGGTGCTGCCAGTGATTCTAATCAATCCTTCCGGGCTCAATTCGGCAGAGAAACGAAAGTTTTCGAAGATGAGCGGCGTGAAATGCATTAGGTTCTGATGCATGTAATTTAACCACGACCGAGACGATAGAGCCAGAATCGCAGGATTCTGCTGTATCTGGACGTGTAGAAGACGGATTGGACGTGTCCCCAGGAACCTGGTGATTAGTCAGCAAACCTGATGGAATAAGAAAAACTGCACACCGAGTTCGCGTGTCGGTTAGTTGGCCGTTGATAGGATCCAGGACTGTCTGAAGCAGAACCCCGTTCTGCAACCCGATGTTGACGAACATGGTCCACTTGCGTACGATGTGATTGAGGCCCAGACCAAGCTCATAGTAGGTTAGCATCTAGGGAACCGAAGCATGAGTTTCACTAAAAATTAATAACTATGTGACATACCACTACAAATGGATACAATCTCATAATATCCAACGAGTGGCAGAGAGCATGTATATACTCCGAGCCGAGTTGACACAACGCGACGTAGACGTGCAGATGCGCATTGCGGATCGGTGAAGTCCAGGTACGGATTGTGAAGTGTGATTGTCACCCTGTTGGTCGGGGATCGGCAAGCGGTCCATCCGTGTCCAAAAAAAAAACTTACGCAGGAGGAACTATGTGCACCATGTACAGATCGGTATCCAGAGGTCCGCTCCGATCGTGCCTGTACGACCCGTTGCCTCGTTAATCTGGGCTGTGAGCTACACCAGGGTTAGTTTACCGTGCACATAGGTAGGAGGACACCCACGTTGAGCTGCACGGCTTCGACATTTCGCTGGGAGTCCTTGATTTTATCTGCAATGCGTGGTAAACTATCGAATCATCTGGGTAATGGGGACGCACCGTGGAATGCCATGTCGGTGAAATGTTGTCCAAAATGACGTCGGACATAATCGAACTTGGCAGGGCGTGAGGTGGGGAGTGGCGCTAAGCGGGACAACTCACCCGTGCACGACATTTATTTGGCCTATGAGCTTCACGTACGGGGGGGCGAGCATAGCCTGCTGGACGTACATCGCGGTCTGTATGGCGAAGCTCTTGCTTGGCATGTCTATGATGCTTGGCCTTGCCCTGCAAATCCGCCCGCTGGCCACACACATCTCTTAGTCTCGGATCTCAAGATACCCGACAAACGACGCACCACAGTCTTCACCTCCGCAATCATATCTTGCAGCATCGCTAACTGTCTCTTGGCCTGCATCGCGATACTGTGCAGAATCGTAAGGGATTTGGAAGTCGGAGAGGCGATTCAAGTACGGACTTGGGCTGCATCGGCGCCATGGGCATGCGCGGCAGCGCATCGACCTCCGTGTCGACTTTGCCCAGATCGTACCGGCCCACTCCTCCTTGTACTTGTACGTGGTCTGCGGCACAGAGATGCTGCCCTGCCCCGCGGGCAGGAAGCTGAAGCGGTCCTTTTCGGCGAGTCGAGGAGCGGCTGCAGCGCAGTGTACGAGTACTGTGAGACGCCCGAGCTCGTGCGCATGTCCTCGAAGCTGATCGAGCACCAGGGATACGAGCGCTGTCGCTTGCACTTGCACTCGTGCGCGGCGTCCTTGGCGGCGATCTTGCCTTCGGAGGAAGAAGATCTGGGGCGGGTCAGGGTGCAGTATGGGGGACGTAAGGGATGCTTACGATGAGGGTGAGGGCGGAGGAGATCCAACACCCGAAGGCATGGTGAGGAAGTCTGGACGCTCGGGTTCAGGGGAGAGTCGCGCGGAGAGGGTGAAGACGTATTACCGGTCCAGAGCATGCTCGTTGATTCGTCCACGCCGAGGATGATGAAGGGCACGACAAAGACGAAGCGGAAGATGATCCGGATCATCTAGGCGTCGTCAGTGCTCTGCGTGTCTCAGGAGGAGCTCGACAACATACATTCATTCAATTCATGAAATTTCGTCAGACGGACTATTGTGGCGGTATCAACGCCTTCGCTTTTCTGCATTCGGATTAGTGGATGAGTTTAACTGCGATACGACTTCGGCGTGGCAAGCGAGAGTCTGTTTTGTCGTTCGTTGTGGTTGAGAATGAGAACACAAACTCGGATTTTGGCTCAAAAAGGCAATAAGTACAAAAAGGCAATATTACCACTTGGTAACGCACAACGGACGAGGGCTTTAAAAATTGCAAAAATTCAAGAAAGTTTACCGGCCGGTGAGTGGAATTACAAACAGATCAAAATTTACAGTACTTCAAGAAAATATCCCTTCATGTCTGCAGCCTCTACTTCTTTGAACTCTTCGAGCGAGTGCGAGAACGGCCCACCGGAAGACCCTCATCGTCAACTGGCTGCATCACGACCTCGGGCTGCGTCACCGCCTTTTCCTTTCCTTTACTAACACTAGCTTTTTTCCCCTTGCGCGCAGGCTCTTTTCCAGATACAGTTGCAGGTGGGTTCGGCGCCGCAGCCTTTGAGGATTTGGTTCGACCACCCACTGCAGCCGGCGCCACGTCCTCGTTGGACAATGCAGTGAGATCTGATCCTTCCTCTTCCTCGACGGGACTGATGATGCGGCGTGGGTGGACACGTCCAACCGGAGCAGGGATTTCATCTACTTCCTCTTCTTCTGTAGTCGGCACAGACGGCGCAGGATCTCGAGCTCCATCGGCTCGTCGAGGACGACGGGCAGGCTCTTCCGCTTCTGAACCTTCTCCAGATGCGGATGGTGCTGGGGGATCAGCAGTAATGGTATTAGAGGGTCCAGCAACGGGAGATTCTTCAAGTCCAACGTCAATTAATGAAGAATTTATGGTAGCGTGACTCACCATCGTCAGATTCCCAGTTAAAATTTGATAACCGGTTCGCGTCATCCTCTGGGATGCCTTCAATATCAAGGCCTGCCAGCGCCTCTGCCATTTCTTCGTCAGAGTTGGCCTCTGCTGCATTCTCGGCTCTCTCGACAGGCGCCGCAACCGTGATCGAAGCGAATACAACTGAGTGCCAAAATTTGAGGACTCGTTGGAACCCAGGTCCCATCATCTTGAGGGCTCGTAAGAATCACATGAAAAGCTGACGGAAGGAAATCTTGGATGCGGTGCCGGTCTCTTCAAAGAATTCTGG